ATTACCGCTGGTGTCCTATTTTCTTTTCTTTAGTTTTCTAGCCCCTCATGCTATAATCATGTGTATTTTCTCCATTCCTGTTCATGTGTCTTCTCGCAATTATCACTGGCCCCGTGTATCTCCTAATCGCTATAACCGGCCTGCTCTCGTCTATCCCACATGCTCCACTGAGATCCAACATCTAGTTTCAGGTGGCCTGTGGAACTGCCAGTCAGCTGTTCCTAAGGCTGACTTAATCTCTGGCTACGCCTCCCTGCAGTCCCTGGATTTCCTTGCTCTCACTGAGACCTGGATTACTCCATCCAACACATCCACCCCAGCAGCTCTCTCCACAGCATATTCCTTCTCCCATACACCCAGACCCACTGGCAGAGGTGGTGGCACTGGTCTCCTGCTCTCTCCCAAATGGAGCTTTTCCCTCTTCAAGCTACCTAACTTCACTCCTTCCACCTTTGAATTCCATGCCGTCACAGTAACCCATCCTATACAATTAACCATTGTTGTTCTCTACCGTCCACCAGGCGCCTTGGGGGACTTCTTGGAGGAATTAGATAATCTCCTCTCACACATCCCTGAAACTGGTCCTCCCGCTGTACTTCTTGGAGACTTCAACCTCCAGACAGGGAAGATAGACGAACTAACATCTCTGTTAACCGCCTTTGCTTTCTCACTGTCTCCTTCCCACCAACTCATAAAGCTGGCAATGTCCTTGATCTCATATTCTCAAGGAACTGCGCTACTTCTAACCTCTCTGTAAACCCACTCCACACATCCGATCACTTCTTCATTTCATTCTCTCTACCCCTTTCCAAACATAACAAACTAATCTCTTCTCGTCCTGCACCTGTCCGCCGTAAACTTCGTTCCCTCTCCCCCTCTACCTTTGCCTCATCGGTGCTCTCAGCCCTCCCTTCCTCTTACTCGTTCCAACTCCTACCTCCAAACTCTGCTGCAGAAACTCTCCTCTCTACTCTCTCATCCTCTCTGGACTCTCTCTCTCCTCTCACATCTCGGCAGGCTCGTCAGTCCCCTCCTGCTCCCTGGCTAAATGACGCACTGCGTGCTAATAAAACCGTCCTTAGGGCAGCAGAGCGGAAACGGTGGAAATCCAAACACTGTGACGACCTCCTAACCTATCAGGCTCTCCTCTCCTCTTTCTCTGCTTCGATCTCTCAGGCAAAAAGCACTTTCTTTCAAGATAAGATCCAATCTTCCTATTCCAATCCCAAAAAACTATTTTCCATCTTCTCCACCCTCTTGGACCCTCCCAAAGCCCCTCCCCCCTCCTCACTTCTGTCAAGCGACTTTGTTATCCACTTTGAAAAAAAGGTTGATGATATTCGCTCTTCTTTTTCTGACTCACCTTTACTCACCGCTGGGTCACCAGACCCTCCTTCCACCAACACACTAACCTCCTTTTCCCCTCTCTCTCCAAGTGAGGTTCTTACCCTCATTACCTCTGCCCGCCCCTACCACCTGTCCTCTGGACCCTATCCCTTCAAACCTCCTTCAGACTATCGCTCCTGATATTCTACCGTTTCTCTCCCATTTCATCAACACTTCTCTAACTTCTGGTCACTTTCCAAACAGTCTCAAGGAGGCAAGAGTAAACCCTCTCCTAAAGAAACCCACTCTCAACCCGTCTGATGTTATAAACTATAGGCCTGTCTCTCTACTCCCGTTCCTGTCTAAAACACTTGAACGCGCTGTCTTTAAACAACTCTCCTGTTATCTCCATCAGAACAACCTTCTGGATCCGCACCAGTCTGGTTTCAAGGCAGGCCACTCCACAGAAACTGCTCTCATTGCTGTCACTGAGGAACTGCACACTGCCAAAAGCAGCATCCCTCTCCTCTGTCATCATCCTGTTGGACCTGTCTGCTGCATTCGACACGGTGAACCATCAGATCCTCCTTCACACTCTCCAAAAACTTGGAGTTTCAGGCTCTGCACTTTCCCTCCTCACCTCATACCTCAAAGACCGTACCTACAGGGTAACTTGGAGAGGGTCTGAGTCCGACCCTTGTCAATTAACTACAGGGGTCCCTCAGGGCTCTGTTCTTGGTCCCCTCCTCTTCTCCCTGTACACAAACTCGCTCGGATCAGTCATTAGCCAGCATGGTTTTTCATACCACTGCTACGCCCAATTAATTCTGTCCTTTCCCCGCTCAGAGACCCAGGTCGTCGCACGCATCTCTGCTTGTCTAGCTGACATCTCTCAGTGGATGACTGCTCATCACCTCAAACTCAACCTTGATAAGACTGAGCTGCTTTTCCTTCCGGGAAAAGATTGTCCCACTCTTGACCTGACTATCAACATCGGCACCTCTGTTGTTTCCCCGACTCAGACTGCAAGGAATCTGGGTGTGATCCTAGATAACAACCTGTCCTTCACTGCAAACATCGCTGCTACAACCCGTTGCTGCAGATACACGCTTTACAACATCAGGAAGATACGTCCCCAGCTGACACAGAAAGCGACGCAGGTTCTGGTCCAGGCTCTCGTCATCTCACGCCTAGACTACTGCAACTCCCTCCTGGCTGGTCTACCTGCATGTGCCATCCGACCTCTGCAGCTCACCCAGAATACAGTGGCTCGTTTGGTCTTCAACCTTCCTAAATGTTCCCACACCACTCCGCTCCTCTGCTCCCTTCACTGGCTTCCGGTAACTGCTAGAATCCACTTCAAGACACTGGTACTTGCTTACCATGCTGCGAATGGATCTGGCCCTTCGTACATCCAGGACATGGTTAAACCGTACACCCCAGCGCGTGCACTACGCTCTGCATCAGCCAAACGACTCGCTGCACCCTCGCTGTGAGGGGGACCCAAGTTCCCATCAGCAAAAACAAGTGGGTTTGCTATCCTGGCTCCAAAATGGTGGAATGAGCTCCCCATTGACATCAGGACAGCAGAAAGCTTACACACCTTCCGGCGCAGACTGAAAACTCATCTCTTTCGACTCCACCTCGAGCGATAGAATTATTAACAAAGCACTTAACTAATAAAGGACTGGCTTATCTATAGCCAGTTGAGTAGCACTTGAAATGTTTGGCTCTATGAAACCTGATGTACTTATATGATTCTGTTTTCTTCAAGGTTGTGTCTTCCTGGTCGAATGTACTTATTGTAAGTCGCTTTGGATAAAAGCGTCAGCTAAATGCAATGTAATGTAATGTAAAATAAATAGTAAGCATTGGTAATACCAATGCTGATAAAGTAAACTATTTTATTTGAGTATTTGTGTCTGGGAAAAGGTACTGTATACCACTATGTTCAGCAGTTATATACTGGGATTTCTTGTACAAGAGAATACAAAAAAAAAATCCATATGGACCATTACTGTATAATCATCCTTAAATTATGTTATAAAATGCACCTAATAAACAAGTATGGCATTTTGAAACATGATGTGCAACCATTTTTACTGTAGTTTGTGTGCATTTTGTTGTTAACTAAGATGATGTTATGATTTATTTTTTGTTAGTATGCACGTGGACGCTTTGGACATACCTGGAGAAGGAAGAAATGGGTCTTCGGAATGATGGGAGTTAAAGACAAAAGGCGGAGACTAGTGTTGAAACTAGTGGAGAAACGATCAAGATGCCACCTTGTCCCTCTGATTAGACGGCATGTTAAGTCAGGAAGTAGCATTATGAGTGATGAGTGGAGGGCACAGGAGAGTGCTGAGTAACATGGGGTACAACCACCAGTGCTTCTCAAAGTGTGGTCCACGGACCACTGGTGGTCCGTGAGCGCCCCCTAGTGGTCCGTGAGTATATTGGTAACATTTGAAATAAATTAATTAATTTGAGTTTTCCGCACTCTCGCGGGAATATCTCCGCAATGGAGCAAGCTTACGTTTCACTTTCGATTGCATGATATAGCCCAGCGCAACACCTTCGTCACACATGTTGCCACTTGTTTTGACCATTTTCAGGCGATTTGTAGTCTGTTCTAAAAAAACGATGTGATTTTGGATATTTGTGGAGTTAGGTAGTCTGCGAGTGTTTTTTTATTGGTATATTGGTCCATGGAATTAAAAAGTTTAAGAAACACTGCACTACACCATAGACCACAGCAGGTGGTTTGTGAACCCCCAGACTGGCATACCCAACATATAGAAAGAGCTTGGTCGACCGTCAAAGGACATGTCCGTAGACTGAGAGGAAACCGTACAGAGAGTTTGTTGGAGGAACACCTCACGGTTCTTGAATGGTCATCTTGGCTTGGCTCTGCTCACCCTGATGGACTGCTTGGACGCTTGTTCAAGGATATACACAAAGCCTTTCCAGTCTGAGTACCATTATGTCTTACCAAGTCTTTCATTTATGAATAAAATGTTTTGCTTGTCTTTTTTGAATCTTGCTTACTTTTACTTTGCATTTCATGTGAAAAATGTGTATTAGGTAAGCGTGAATGTTATAACTCATTCATAAATGGACATGTGTATTCAACTTAAAAACAACGCACCCTTTCAGTAATTATAATTGTTAGTGACTAATCAATAGATGGTGATGTGTTTCACACTTTACAAGGCTCCCTTTTGGCAGTTATAAATGTTAATAACTCATTCATAAATGGTCATAAGAGATGCCAAGAAACATCAAGATGGATGGAGGGAGAATCAACTCAGTGAACAACAGATACCAAGGATGCTGGCTGATGAAGACGAAGTAAGCTAAGTAGCCAATACAAGACTTAGCGGTACAGATAAATGTGGGCTCACTATTTGGCAAGCAACCGGTCACAGTTGCCCTGTTTATCTCATGTCTTATAAAAGCTTATTAATGATTTATAAAGTGTTCACAACCTAATTAATAAATGAATTACAAACTATTCGTAAACCCTTTATAAGGGTAGTCTTATTGTAAAGTGGTGCTGGAATACCTAACTACCGTTGTCTAGGCAAATTGATTAAATGTCTGTAAAAGTTGCTGTTCTCTGGGACAGTAAACCTGACTCGCAGCACCAACTTTCTCTCTGGGTTGGCTTTCAGGCAGGGTTCCCTCCGGGAGTTGTGAACATCGTTCCAGGCTTCGGTCCAACAGCAGGGGCAGCCATCGCCAGCCACATGGACATCGACAAAGTGGCCTTCACTGGCTCTACAGAGGTGAGTGAGTGTACTGTATGACAGCAGCTGTTATCATGATTTTGACAAATTTGCATGAAAGACTCTCTTAAATACTTTGATATAAAAACCAGCAAACCTTTTGAGTTGTACAGTGCTGTTTTGCTGTTTGAATTGTAGAATTAAAGCAAGGCAGGTGTTCATATAGTAAGAAAATACAGAGGAAATATAGATTACTTAGGTTAATATTTTGCGAGTCATGAAACTATTTATTAATTTATTGATTTATAACCGTAATGATTTGATTCTGTACAATCACAAAGTAATGAGCTATAGGGCTGCATACTTATTCAAATATTAATCGCAATTATTAAAAACCAGTGCTCCACTCATAGAAAGCTTAGCTTCACATCAAAACCAGCGCTTCATGCATTAACCAGCCACCAGCCAGTGATCAAGCAGTGCCAGGAGTCACAGTGGACTTGTGGACACACTGTTATTTACTCAACAATAACACACAATTATCCTTGTTTTTATTTATTTGTTTAATTCTATAATATCGGGCTTTTTTGCCGTCCGTCAGGAACTGAATTTCAAAATAAAGTCACCGGAAACAGACGTAGGCGATACACACCCACTGAACTGATTTCCCAAGATCCTCAGCTATGGTTGAAGCTCGGTGATTGGATGTTTTAGCCACAATGCACGTCGGGATATGGTGTTAATGCGATATGAAATAACCAACAACAGAATTGCGTTGCCAGGCAACAGCTTGCGGTGAAAACAGTATTTCCGGTCTCGAAGTTTGCATAGTAATCTGCAGTACTCATCAACTAAAAACGTCAGTTTATCCTTGTGTTAATTACACAACATTGATTGGTTTAAATTGTGTACAATGCTTTTGTGTTTTCCCCCTTCGATTCAGAGAAACAAATAGTTTTTTAGGATGGCCGAACACACTACACTACCCATAATCCTCAGCTATCGTTTGGGACTACAGTCCCTTTGCTTGACAAACCCTTTGATTAATCTTCAGGCTCTGTGATTGGATGTTGGAGTGGCAGTGCCAAGGTTACGCCAAGCATCAAACAGCTCTATGAAATGGCTCTATTGTGTTTTGCAACATGTTCTATGGCACGTCTCTACTGGGAATTGTAGTTTTAAAAGGCGTTTTCGTTTTTTCCCACAATTAGAAGTTGCCAGTATTAAACTGTGTACACCCCTGGAGGTTTAGGGGATAAGAAACACATTGGTGTTATCATAATAATAAATGGGTGAAAATTCCTTGTGTCCATAATGGGCAGCATTAATATACCAACATGACAGCTCATTGTTACTTTGTAATTCTACTCCACTACATTTATTTTAGTTACTTTGCAGATTCTGATTAATGATGTGAAATATAAACAACCCTTAAATCAGTCTTTAGTTACACCTGAGTAAAGTTCAGGGAAGGTGATTGTCAAGTGCCAACAATCAGGAGAGATATTTGATAGTTGGTGCTTGAAAAGACTAAACATTAAAAATACATTACTCGTTATTCTCTAGTAATAGTTCATTAAAGACTGTATATAATTGCTGTTTTGCACATCCTTTTCAAGATTTCAAGATTTAAGGTTTATTAACATATCATATATACAACTACGGTGTAGTTATGCAATGAATGAAAAACTTGGGAGCATTACAAGACATCTATCAATATGTGTGTATACCTCCACCATTAAACTGTCAAATTCTGCACATTTCTTATACTATCTAAATACATAAGAGTATAATTAATGTGTATAATATCAGTTAAAATAAGTGCTTCAACATAGTTAATATTGCAGGAAAGCAATATATTAGACGTTAAGTACTTTGTTAGGCTTAATATTTATCTGTAGATAGATACCCCGAAAGGTTTTTTCTTATTTAAAAGAAGACCTTAACCTAAAGTATTCTTTAATGTTTGAATAAAGGTTAATTCGTTTTTCTGTTTTGCACATCCTCATATTCATATCTTTGTACATCCAGCACTAAACTGTTTTATTGTTTTATTGTAGATCACTTACAGTATCTTCTTAATATTTTATATTCTATATTTATATCATTGACCTTATACTTTCCCCCTATTTTTGATGTACTCTTAATATGTAAATGTTTTCATCAAATATAACATATTCAACAAAAAAATTGCAATAACGTGGTTTAACCACTAGGCGGTGCGGGTTAAAAAAAAAAAGTGTTAACGCAACAAATGATACTTTGTATTATTAGTGTAGGACACTTATGTATGTGTAACATCTGAAGATGTGTAGTTGTATTCGTGTTTTCACATAATTGTACAGGATATTGCTATATTATTTGACATGTTTTACTTCTTTCTGCACATTAATATCTGATTTGTAAAACATCACGGACAGAAAGATATATCCGTCATTTAATGGTAAGCTATTGAAATTCTGAATCCATAGATGTGTCTCCCATCACCCAAAACCCCTGACTATTCTCTCAACTCAGTATTTACATTCTTATATTCAAAGAAAATCAATAATATCTTTAAAAACTACAAGTCCCTGTCTATCAGCTGTGTACCGTTATGGTGTAAATATAACCTATCTACCAATTGGATCAAATATAAAAGTCAGCCGAATTAGTATTGATACTGCAAGGAGACGTATTGTGTGAAGAGAAATTGAAGATGTTGTTTAATTGCTGATATATTTATGATCCACGTCACATATTCAGTTTCGGTGGCATTTCTTCCAGTTTGTCCAAAGGACTTCTCATCAGGGCTCTATAAATAAAGAACTACGGCAGATGTGTAATATTTAATGCAGCCGAACCGTGTGTTACAATGCCGTTATGTGATGTTACTTTCAAAGAGAAAAGCAAGCACACTCGGAATAAAATAGTATTATTATTTTTTTTTAAATGTTTTGGGATTTCACATTGCATAAACACCATGTCCCAACGTGCTTTGCGGCTAAAACATCCAATCACCGAAATTTAACCATAGCTGAGGATCTTAGGTAATTTCAGTGGATGGGTATTTTGAAATTCCGTTCCTGATGGACGGCAAAAAAGCCCGATATTATAGAATCAAACAAATAAATAAAAACAAGGATAATTGTGTGTTATTGTTGAGTAAATAACAGTGTGTTATTTAGAAAAGAATAACAAATTAGAAGGAAAAAAAGATTGAAAATATACATATTTCAGTGTTCTGAGCCCCATTTATTTTCCTCACGGACAGCAAAAAAAGTCCGACATTATACGATTTAACATAAAAACAATAATCGTGGCTTGATATTGAGTAAGAAAATGTTTTTATGAACCACACAGCTTCCGATCTTCCAAGACCCGAAACATAAAACATACTACCAATAGAAATACATTGCTTTTAATATCGTTCTGTGTGACACGAAAAAAAGGGGAAAATCGTGTTGGTGAACACGAATCAATAGATTAAATGTCGTGACTATAACACGAAATGCCGTGAGACTGGGTTGTATATTCACTTATCTGCAGCACTAATGGAAGCAATTTGGGGTATGGTATCCTTTTCCATTTTGTGTTGCAAGTTTGTTTGGCTTAGTTCATAAGGCACAAAGTGTGTGTGTGTGTGTGTGTGTGTGTGTTTTTTGTGTGTGTGTGTGTTTTTGTGTGTCTGTGTTTTTCTGTGTCTGTGCATGTGCGTGCGCCGTGTTAAGATGATTTGAGAATTATGAAACCGGTGAGGAATAACACATTTGTATGTGCATGAGGTGGTTTAAAGCGTTCCATTAAACTCAGCTCTGCACATCTGATTAGTACTTGTTTAATAAAATAAATGTATATCCTTATCATTTTAGATTCATGGTGTGTTGTGTTCCTTATAAATGAAGGGTCCTTGGTGGTATTTCTTATAAGTTTGGGACCTGGGTGAGACACCGCAGTTCTCTGAAGCTGAAATAGTCTGAGTTTCGCAGATATAGATAAAGCTTCTTGTATAAATAAACTGCAACAATTAAATGTATAAAATAAGTGAAAAAACTCTTGCCTCATCCAGTTAGCTTTAAAATACTGTAGACTCCCCCTAGATTGATTTCAAAGTTGAGAAGTTAGTTTTCTAATGCAATGACTATTAGAATTCCTAAATATCCATCTTAAATAGCTTTTAGTAGCATACATTGCTTAAAGGGGACCTATCATGCAAAATGCACTTTTGTACGTTTTTTATACATGAATATGTGTCCCCGGTGTGTCAGGGAACTCACAACCCTCTCTCTTTTCCTCCATACCCAAATCTCTGAAAACGGGGCTGCAACGGATCTGATACAGACTGATACAGATTTGAAAATTCTCTGACGTCAGGAACGAGGAGCTCCGCCCTATATGGCCAATTCTCCACCTATCAGGGGAATGTGGGGTTGGGCCACAGCCGGCCATTGCTGCTCGAAAGCGCTGGAGACGCTGTAGTACATATGCCAGGCCTGTAAGTGGCGCTGTAGTCTGCCACAAAAACGGTGAAGAAGACTTCCTGCGCATGGTTGCCCTTCTGTTTATTCTCTTCCGTGGCTCTTTTTCTCCCTCCCTGAGGCAAGCGTTTGCACCTCCTGCTGCTTTAATTCAATGCAATCCCTCCCAGTCGAGGCAAGCACTGTAATTATCTCCGGTAGTCCACCAGCAGAGGACAAACACCCACCTCTCCGCCTCTTCCAAGGAACGAGGGAACCGTGCGGCAGAGTTTCAGTTGATGTCCGTTAAAGTTTAAATCTTCCGGACAAAATTAGAAAAGTGCCGGTCAATGGTCTTCTTTGTTATTTATTGAGCTTTAAAAAAAAAATGAATAATGACTCTATATAATCATATAAGAATAAAACACGGAGGACGGAGATCTCTTTTTCTCCCCCTCTTCTGACAGCCTAGCAGCTGATCTCAAAGCACGATCCCCTCTCCTGCTGGGGGGCGTGGTCAGCTGCAGCTCACAGAATCAGCCTCCTGCAAAAACAGCGCTGGAAAGAGCAAATAGAGCGAAATGAGGCATGGCTAAAATGCAGGATCTGTTTGGTATTTTGAAAAATAAATTATATTGATATACTTTATATAGGTATGCCCTACAATATATTGTTCAAATATAGCATGATAGGTCCACTTTAAGTTCACTAACATCTGAATACTCTCTTTTGTGCTGCTACTGTGTAGATGTACTACCCATGATGCATTAGGATATGTTTGTGTGTATGGTCATGCAGGTTGGCCAGCTGATCAAACAAGCATCTGCCAAAAGCAATCTGAAGAGAGTGACTCTGGAGCTGGGGGGGAAGAACCCATGCATTGTGTTTGCTGACTGTGACTGTAAGTAAACAAAACTAATATACATAATAGTAAAATGATGAATCAAATGCAACATGAACATGTTTCAGCATGCACTGGAGGCACTTCACACCTTTGCAACCTCAGGGGTTTTACCACATCACTACTCTGAAATATTGAAATATGAGGCCTGTCATGGCTCATCTTTCATATGTACAATTAACCTTTTTTGTGCCATTGCTGTCATCCGACAACTGTAAGTTGACAATCTCAGCGACATTCTCACTATCAAATACATTTTCTGTAGCTCAGGGGGCTGCAGAGATCCGGTACAATACAGCCACTCATGTGTAATATGATGATACATTGGCCTGATCACTTGTTAGTTGACTGATAAGCACTGTCATACCCTCTAAACAGCACCTGATAACAGTCCTGTATTTATTCTTGTTCCTACCAATCTGCTTGAAGCATCCTACATGTACATATATTGTAAAGCAACCAGCATTATGTTTTTCTCATTCAGTGAAATGTTGAATCCAAATCTGCACATAACAACTAAATTTTTTTTAAGGCCATGCTGTAGATATCATTGAGGTCATTTCTTCAGTATTTTTGTCTAGAGATTTAATTAGGTTTTAGTTTAATAGTGTACTATGAGCAATGACAGGTGTGACAGTTAGAAAGCTAGTCAGAGCTTAATACCTGGGGATTTTTCCCCAAGACATGTTCCTCTTGTGCAAAAGAAGACAAATTGTCTAAGAAATTGTCTACTTTAAGAATATAACACCCTCCCAGACTGATGATACTTCCCAGAGTAGAGAAGGTCTCAATGTATTCTGAAGAATGTTGGAGTGACGTCAAAATGGTTGTTCTTTATTGCTCTTGTCCTTTTTGTAAATGTGTGTGTGTGTGTGTGTGTGTGTGTGTGTGTGTGTGTGTGTGTGTGTGTGTGTGTGTGTGTGTGTGTGTGTGTGTGTGTGTGTGTGTGTGTGTGTGTGTGTGTGTGTGTGTGTGGTGTGTGTGTGTGTGTGTGTGTGTGTGTGTGTGTGTGTGTGTGTGTGTGTGTGTGTGTGTGTGTGTGTGTGTGTGTGTGTGTGTGTGTGTGTGTGTGTGTGTGTGTGTGTGTGTGTGTGTGTGTGTGTGTGTGTGTGTGGTGTGTGTGTGTGTGTGTGTGTGTGTGTGTGTGTGTGTGTGTGTGTGTGTGTGTGTGTGTGTGTGTGTGTGTGTGTGTGTGTGTGTGTGTGTGTGTGTGTGTGTAGTGAAGCTGGCTGTGGAGGAAACCCAGAAAGGAGCTTTATATAACCAGGGTCAGTGCTGCACAGCTGCATCACGTGTCTTTGTGGAAGAGAGTATTTATGAGGAATTTGTGCATCGCAGCGTAGAAAACGCCAAGAAGATTGTCATAGGAGACCCGCTGGACCCCCAGACATCACACGGGCCACAGGTAGAACTCACAGCAAACCTTGAGTTAACAAGCAACATCCTTACTTGTAACTGTTTTTTTAAACAAGTTTTGAACATGACATTGACATATTATTGCCTCTTAAAGGGGCCATGTTATGCTAAGTTTCAGGTTCATATCAGTATTTTGTGGCTCTACTGTGACATGTCTCCATACTTTAATGTTCAAAAAGCTCTTTATTTTTCTCATACTGCCTGTCTTTTCACCCTCTGTCTGAAACCAGAGCCCAGTCTGCTCTGATTGGTTAGCTCAGTGGTTCCCAACCTTTTTCAGTGAGGCCCCCCTTGGGTAATTGGAAATATTTTCCAATTACCTAACCCGGTTCCCACCAAGATTGGTCGAATTAATTGTATATTGTTGTACAAACATTACATTTTCTCTGCTAATAATAACAAGACAAAAAGATCCAACTATAATTTTATATTTTATTATCGATTGAACATGAACAAAAGTGCTTGCACAGGCGGAGCCCTCTACTGGACTCTATGGGTACTACCTCTTAACCATACTATGTGAGCATTCACCTTCTGAGATATCTATAAACGTAGCCGGCCCCTCGGGGCGGGCCTACCTGAATGCGTGCGCAAGCCCACCACGCCACGCCACGCCACCTGACTGTCATCCTACACCCTCTTCAGCGAGCGGCATAGGACAGACAGGGCCCCAAGTAGAGGGCTCCGCCTGTGCATATATAACTAGGGTTGACCGTGGAGAAGTCCAAAAAATAAAACCATATGCCCTCCACACTCACGCCGTTGAACAAGGCTGTTGATACAGCCATACCACGTGTACAGTGTGCATGGACCCCAGTGGGGAAGGCTCTCCCCGCCTGTCCATAGGCATGTGAAATGCACTCGCAGAGCCATCCTGTCAGGCGTTTCTTGGACAGAGCTTTACCGGCCACACCATCCCAAAACACACAAACAGCTGTTCAGTGCGCCTAATGGAAGTTGTGCGCCCTACATAACATGCCAGCGCACGCACTGGGCAGAGGAGGTGCAATTTAGCCTCCCTGTCCCCAATATGGGGTGGAAGAATAAAGCCGTTTAACTGTATAGCCCTCAAACTGAACAAACTCCATAGGTTCTTGGGAACAAAGGAGGGGTTCGGTCTGAGTGTCGCCCTGCTACGGTCACCCCGGATCAAAAGGCAACTTGGGTGCACCGACAGAGCGGCCAGCTCGGACACTTCCCTGGCCGAAGTCAGAGCAAGCAGCAAAGCTGTTTTCAATGACAGTGCTTTCAGGGAGGAGAGCTCCAGAGGCTCAAATGGTTCTGTGACCAGAGCCTCGAGCATCAATGGCAAATCCCATTGCGGGGAGGAGGCATGCACCACTGGGCGCTGTCGCCTGACCCCCTGCAAAAACCGCGTCATAAGCGGCTGACTGAAGGCTGACCTGCCGTCAAATCTCTCATGGCAGGACAAAATGGCTGCTGCCGGCGCCCGCTATTAAGCCAGGGCACGAAGGACAGGCCCTGGTCTCTAGAAGTGGCGACTCCATGAAGGTATGATAACTCTTTCTTCTTCTTTCAAACGTTTTACTTTCTCTGCTTCAGTTGTTGCTCGCTCGCTGAAGAGAAAAGGATGACAGTCAGGAGGCGTGGCCGCCTTATATACGGTGGGCTTGCACACGCATTCAGGTAGGCCCGCCCCAAGGGGCCGGCTACGTTATCTCAGTAGGTGAATGCTCGCATAGTATGGTTAAGAGGTAGTACCCATAGAGTCCAATAGAGGGCGGAGCCTGTGTAAGATATAACTAAACAAATTGGAAACAGAATTAACATTGATTTATTTCATGTATAGTGTGGACTATGGCTGCTAGCACACAAAACATAGCTGCAGTGTAACTGTAGATTTACTCAAGTACTGTACTTATTTTGAGGTACTTAAGTATTTCCACTTTTGCTTCTTTGTAATTCTGTTCCACTACAGTTCTGTTTACAACTTCTTCCCAAGCTTCACGCATCCCCCCTGCAATAGCGCTGCGCCCCCCCAGGTAGGGAACCACTTAGCTGGCAGACTCTGTTGTAATTGGTCAGCTGCTTAGAGATGTCCCGCCCCCTTAACCCTCTGGAGTCCAAGTGCACATTTATTTACGTATTTAATCATAGATTTTCACTTGTAAGGAGTAGAAATATGATTCAGATATCTGCGGAATCGCTAGAATCGTAGTTTGTCAAGAGTATCTCCTGTGAGACTGTACCCAGGGCACACCAGCCAATATTGCCGCTCAAAGCAGCTTGATTCGGCGTTACACTGTGTGTGATTGTTGGATTTGTGTGTCAGTCAAGGACATCTCGGCCGGCCGGCAGCCATGTCGGTCTGAAATGACCAATGAACACTCTAGAAATCTAAGGACCTACCCACCAATACAAAAACATATAACAAGTGTCTCCCATCAGTTTCAGTCTTTTAGTCTGTGAAGAAGATAGAGAAAATGGCTCGAAGAAACTTTACCGTTGCGGACGCGCTGGATTTTATTTTCGCGAGCGACAGTGAAGAAGATGGCTCATTAGAACCTGAAGGCTTCGACTCATCTGAAGAACAAGAATACAGGGACAGCAGGGATCCATTTGAGGATGGGTAAGTGTAAATATAACTTGTAGTGCATTTGCCATTTTGTGAGGAGTACCGCGAAAATGAACAATGGATTTATCAACCTTTTTATTTTCCCCTCATGAACTTTTTCTCGGGACAAAATAGACTCTTGATTAGTAAACGTTTACTCTGTGTAAATGTTATTTATTTGTAAACGTTATTTTGGCATGTATAAGTAAGGTTACATGTGTAGATGCAGTGTTTCCCACAGATATGAAATATACTTGGGCGGGTGGTGCAAGGCGGGGGGGGGGATTGGGGGGGGGGGGGGGTGCGCGAAAAAAAAAAAAAAAAGTTTTAACAACATTATTTATTGACTTTTCATTCCGGTATAATCATTTTGCGCAAAGATGGCACTGTTTGTCAGAGCACTTCATCCTTCTGGGATTTCATGAAGAACAGCTCCAACGCCTGTGTGTATGGGAACGCCTCTGGTGCTGGTCCATTAACTGCCAGTGTTTCCCACAGATCTGAAATATACTTTGGGGGGTGGTGGTAGCGGGGGGGGTTGAGGTGACGTGCAACAACATTAACCTTTCTGTTGGTCTCTTGTTAGCAGACCCTTCACGCGATGGCAGAGCGAACAGGTACAGGTACAGGCAGGGCCCATAATGATAGCCCTATAGTTTAAATCTACTACCCACACATGAACATATGGAAATTGGTTACTATTTAAAAAAATAAATGTATTTATTAATGTATTTAGGAACCTATCCATGTGATTTTTAGTGGGGGTCGACCTCAAATCCTCTAGGGGGGTCCAGGGGCATGCCCCCCCGGTAAGATTTTAATTTTTATTTTGGAGTTAAATGCATCAATCTGGTGCATTTTGAGGGGAAAATAAAGATACTAGATCTATGGAAACACCTATATTTAACAGAACTGTATACATTTCAATAATCATAAAATCAAGGCCATAACCAATAACATACCATATCCAATATGAAAAAAACACTGAAACTTGTTTATTAATTTAGTTTTGGTTCATTTATAGTTGTGTGTGTCTGTGCTCCTGGATCAGCCTCTCCTGTCTCCCTCCTCTCCCTCCTCTCCTGTCTCCCTCCTCTCCTCCCTCTCCATCCTCTCCCCCTGCTCCTCTTTGAGGCAGCAGCAAAGACTAGTTTTCTCTCAACAAGTTTTAAAAGTGTATCTTACCTTTTTTCACCTAGTTAACTTTTTATTTATTTATTCATGCATATTTTACTAATCACATTACATTTCATTTAGCTGACGCTTTTATCCAAAGCGACTTATAATGACCGATTACAGGGACATTCTCCCTGGAGTAACTAAGGGCTAAGTGCCTTACTCAAGGGCACACTAGTGGTGGTGTTCCTGGCGGGATTTGAACTCACAGCCTTCCGATCTTCAGCCCACCTCACTATCCATTAGACCAATCACTACCCTCTCAAATGGAAATATGTGTTTACATAAATGGTGACCACACCGTTTGAGACCCACTGAGAACTTAGACTAAGTTAACTATCTAAACACTCAGAGAGTCCTTTACCTCACCTGAGCTGAGGTTATCCCGAGCTTGAATGACACACAGAGACCAATCAAGGGCTTTGATTTATGATCTGTATGACAGTGGCCATGTCGGCAGGCCACATCATGTGGACAGCCAGTCACCCTGTGTGAGGCAAGCCACTTAACAGGCCAGAAGGAGGCGAGATCAGAGCAAGGGAGCGAGGGATCATTGTCTACAAGTTAATCGATCGCAGATGGCGTCGTGGTCACGGACGAATTTTTAAAAAAAAATATTAAAAAAAAAACGAAATGGATCGCGAAATATACTTGGGCGGCCGTTAATATACCTGGGCGGCCCGCCCAAGTATAGTCTATGTGTGGGAAACCCTGAGATGAATATAAATAATCCTTTATTCGTCCCACAACGGAGACATTTATAGACATGTATTTTATTTGATCATACTGTTCTGTACAGATGAGACTTTGTCATAGACTTATTTACATGTGTGTCTGTGATAAACTTTATGTGTAAACGTTATTTTGGTGTGTATAAGTAAGGTTACATGTGTAGATGCATCAGATAATCCTTTATTTGTCCCACAACGGGTGTGTGTGTGTGTGTGTGTGTGTGTGTGTGTGTGTGTGTGTGTGTGTGTGTGTGTGTGTGTGTGTGTGTGTGTGTGTGTGTGTGTGTGTGTGTGTGTGTGTGTGTGTGTGTGTGTGTGTGTGTGTGTGTGTGTGTGTGTGTGTGTGTGTGTGTGTGTGTGTGTGTGTGTGTGTGTGTGTGTGTGTGTGTGTGTGTGTGTGTGTGTGTGTGTGTGTGTGTGTGTGTGTGTGTGTGAACTTCGTAATAATTATTGTCCCACAATTTGTATTTGTTTCACAGAGAGGTTTCACAGCTGCCTGGGCCTAGCTGCCCACAGATGACATTTATCCAGGAGCCTCCAGCTGTGCCTGCCACCATGTTGAGATCTACCATGGATCAAGGGCCTTCACCACTGCCATCCCCACCAAGCACTAGCGGACCAGCATCACGACAGCTGCCTCCATCTCTGCCTGCGACGAGGTCAAGATACACCTCAGCTCCACCACAGCCATCACCATCAACCCGGACAGCAAAGAGGTCTCGTAGAGCACACGTACCTCCCACACAGCCACCAGCTGCCCATGCACCATCACCCCCACCTGCACAGCAGCCAGCTCCACTGTCTTGGAAGACAGGCGAAGACCATGACACTGCTCCCCCTGTCTCCAGGTTTCAACCTGCTCGCACACCCGGGCCACAGCTCAGCTCAACAGTATCAAACAAACCCCTTGACCTGTTCAAGCTGTTCTTCAGTGCACTAACAGTACAGACACTCTGTACCAACACAAACAAGCGGGCTGCACAGGAGATGGGAAAGGGTAAAACCTACAAATGGACTGACTTGACTGTAGAGGATTTCTATAAATACATGGGGCTGCTGAAACTGGACAATGTATTGGACTACTGGAGGAAGGATCATTTTGTCAGTGTATAATGAATAGTTGGTTGAAGGAAAAAAAGTTCTGATGTTCAATATTGTAAATAGTGAGATTTTGCAGTTCTATTTATATTAGGGCTGTCAAGTTAACGCGTTAATAAAAAATTAACGCCACTAATTATTTTAACGCGATTAACGCATGTGTATTTTTTTTCCTCGGCCGCCCCGTGGTTTCAGAGCGCATCGAGTTTAAAATACCATCTACAAGCTGATGCTAACAGCCCCGCTCCTGCCGCCCGCTTGTGGCAGACCACACTTCCACGCTCACCGGCAGGCACCGACTGGCTGTTGGGAGGACCGGGAGGGTGTGTGTGTGTGTGTGTGTGTGTGTGTGTATGTGTGGCCCGAGAGAGAGACCTTACGTGCATTGTTGTTGTTAGCATCTGGTGCTAGCTAGCTGCGCTAACGGATATGGAGCTGTTTAAATGAAAACAGAGGAGCGACATTTCGCCACAACTGCGCCGAGCACTTGACTTTATGCAGGAAGCCAGACAGTGGGACATTGTACGAACAGTCAGCGCACTCAGCACGGATAGTGCGCAACATGATTGCAGCGTCCAGGCAGCTCCCGTTCGAGCATATGCCTTGAGTTGCACATAGCTCCAACGATCTATCACACACACACACACACACACACACACACACACACACACACACACACCATTTGTATTGTATTATTGTATGAGAGAGGTTCCAGGTTGAATTGAGGCGAATATTTGTAATGTTCAGAGGTTGTTGTGTTTAATATTCATGAGAATATTTGTCATTGTTCAAATGATAATAAACATTAGCATAAAGCATATTTGTCCACTCATATGTTGATAAGAGTATTAAAAACTAGAAAAATATTCCTCTAAGGTACATTTAGAACAGATAAAAAATGTGCGATTAAATATTTTAATCGACTGACAGCCCTAATTTATATACATTGTTGGTATTATAATAAATTGTTGGTTGAAAAAAAAAGTTCTAATGCTCAATTCTTTTTTTTTTTACACATCACATGAACCTTGTTATGTAATATGAAGTCCTTATTCAGTCCTGATATATCTCAGTCCCTGCTGTGGTGAAAGTAGAGTGATTGACAGCTGTTTTACTCAGAATGCAAATTTATAAAATTTCATTTTAGACATGAATAACACATTTATATACAGTGTAATTCAAATATTTCACTACTTTTGTAATCCTAAAACTTTGGTAACCAAATCTAAAACACCAAAACAATTCGAGTACATTTGTGTTTTCACAAGAGTTTTGAAGATTTTCCGAAAATCGGATGTCAAATGTTAAGCTTTTGAGCTACTTATCTCATCAAACAGTGCTCTAAGGTGAGTAATTTGCATATATAGCAATACTAGAGATTGTCCTGAACATTTTGATATGTAACACATGGGTGCCATGTTAGAAGAAATACATTTAAAAGGTGATTTAAGAAAACATCTAAAAATCGAGAAAATACCCTTAAACTCCAGAGGGTTAACCATGTAATCACGTAAATCACGTACAATGTGTTTGAGCGCTAGCCAATAGAAGCGCAAGTGTTACATAGTGATGTCACTACCTCTGTGCTGAACGCCCAACCTTTTAACTGATGCTAACCTTTTCATTGATAACGCAAACAAAGGAAATTCCCCCTGATGTCAAACTATCTCTTTCACTTTGTACTTGCCTGCCTGTTTCTGGCTCCAGATTGACCGAAAGCAGTTTAACAAGATTATGGATCTCATAAAAAGTGGGAAGGAGGAGGGAGCTAAACTGCAGTATGGAGGAGCAGCTTTGGGCGAGCACAGCCTCTTCATTCAGCCCACCATCTTCTCTGAGGTCAAAGACCACATGCGAATTGCCAAGGAAGAGGTACGTGTTTAGTTTCAGATATTTGTATTAAGCAGAAGCATACATGTATCTCACAGTAAATACAGAGCTAAATCCCAGATCAAATGCACGCTAAAGGGTGATTGCAATTGTTTTCTCTCACTGATTGTGCCGTTATGTTAAATGTTTGATGTTTGTTTTTCATGTATTGTGTCTTGATATTTGTCTATGTTGATGTTACACAAGGAGCTGATGTGATGCAAGTCAAATTTCAGACTTGATCTGACCAATAAAGTATTATCGTATCGTAGCGTACAGCCATAATACAGATTTCTGTGGGTGGATTTCATGCTTCTCTTTTTGACAACATAGAAGACATACAGAACAGCACAAAAAAGAAATAACATCATATGACAGGAATACTAACATACATAGTCACAATGGGAAAAAACAAAAGATCATAAAAAAGTGTATAATTATATAAATATAAAACAAATTAAAACAATAAACAATAAATAAATAAAGCTCCCCGTGCAGACAGGAGACGATAGAACATGAAGCTGCGCATGTCGAAGTACTTAACCCTCCGGTATCATTCGATTGGACTACGCAAATTAGTTATTCGAGACAAAAATGTCCACTGCAAAATGCTTTGATAAAAACATTATATTAAAAGGTTTTTTTCACAACCTTTTTGGGTTCAATCTTTAAAGCAACTTCCGCCCTAATAGAAAATACCAAAAATGTAATCATTTTCAGGATTTTAACCCTTTCAATACCATTTTGAATACATGAAACCGCTGTTTTTTTTCATGATGAAAACAGAGAAAATGTGTTATTTTCCAAAAAATACATATCTGGGGACTGGCTCTTTTTTTTTATAACAGTCTTGGATATGTCAAATATTAGCAACAAAATGGAATTTTTTGCATTATTAGTTTTTGCACAAAATCAGATTGAACAAAAAAGTTACAAATTAGTCATTCGGGAAAAAAATGTCCACTTCCAAAAACTGCTCTAAAATGACAACAGATTAATATTTTTAAAAACTTTTTGGGGTTAAATCTTTCAATCAACTTCAGTCCTGATCAAAAATACCAAATGTTAAATTATGTTCAGGATTTTAACCCTTGAACTGCCAGTTTGAAAACATGAATTTGCGTTTTCTATGAAAAACATGCACAAAAAGGCAGTTCTTTTCCATATAATGAATGTTGGGGGGGTCGGCTTTTTAATCACAGTCTTGGATATGTCAAAGATTAGCAACAACATTGATTTTGGTGGATAATTAGTTTTTGCACAGAATCAGATTAAACAAAAAAGTCACTCATTAGCCACTCGCGGACACAAATGTCCCATCCACTCCCATTATAACCACATCTTTTGATCTCTCTGCCATACATATCTAATCATGCATTTTGTAATGTCAGGGTTTTATATTGGAGGAAAATAGTTCAATTTGTCCTTTTTACTCTATATCACCAGATGTGACATTTTACCATTGAATTACATGCTTGTCATTTCTTGGTTTCTTTGCCTGTTGTATAATGGGGCCCTGCCAGCCATTGGAATACATGTATGCAACTAATATGATATAGGTGTGTTGGGTATGGATGTGGAAGAGTGGTATCAACTGAGGTGTGTGTGTGTGTGTGTGTGTGTGTGTGTGTGTGTGTGTGTGTGTGTGTGTGTGTGTGTGTGTGTGTGTGTGTGTGTGTGTGTGTGTGTGTGTGTGTGTGTGTGTGTGTGTGTGTGTGTGTGTGTTGTGTGTGGTGTGTGTGTGTGTGTGTGTGTGTGTGTGTGTGTGTGTGTGTGTGTGTGTGTGTGTGTGTGTGTGTGTGTGTGTGTGTGTGTGTGTGTGTGTGTGTGTGTGTGTGTGTGTGTGTGTGTGTGTGTGTGTGTGTGTGTGTGTGTGTGTGTGTGTGTACAGAGACAACAATATACAGTAGATTTGGTTTACAGCAAGTCGCAGTTTTCGCCTCATATCTTTCTTTCTCTCACTCCCTCATTCCCAAACTCATACACACTTACATATTAAACCTCCTTATACCTTGTGAGTGAGTGATTGTGTGTGAGAATGAGACAGGAGTGTGCTCTCATGGCGTTTTGTTTTTCATTTGTGCTGTTTCATGTGTCTTTGAGGTAAACGGATGTATGATCTTGACCCAGCTTGACCTCGATGTTTTGAATTGTTTGGACCTTCAAAGTCCTTTGATAATGTCTCTTTAGCAAGCAGACATACACAGCCATACATATACTCCTTGAAGTAAATAAAAACACCTGGCTGCAAAGCCAAAGCTTCAAATATATGTCGTTTGGCTGGATGGTCATTTCATTCCTGTGATACGCAACAAGCAGTAAGATGAAGAGGAGCTTCTCTGTGGAACAAGAGGTCTCATGCAACCAGTAACTTCAGCTGCAGGACTCATCCTCTGAAACAGAAACACCCTGAGAAGGAGAATCTGGTGTGGATCTGAACTGTGCTTGAAAGGAGTCAGCACAAAGATAAAACACTTTTTTGCCAAATAGTTTGCCAAACAGTTCATTTATCAGATGGGGGCAGAGAAGAAGGAACAATTCTGCCCCGAATCCCACGTTGATACAGAGGAATCAATGAGGTCCTTTGCTGAGGAGGTTGAGGAGCTGCTGAGGAGCTGCTGAGGAACAACAAAATGGTGATGAGGTTGAGATGTATGAAGGACTACAAAACCTTTTGGATGAAAAAAGCCTGATGTTCACTAAAGTGCTTAGTGATCTCTTCCTCAACCACACCACAAAGGGGATGATAGCACCAGAGATTGCCACAGGAGTAACAAGAATATTCATTGCGCCGCCACGTGAAGCCATGCTTAGAGAAATGATCAGATGCTTGTGGTGGAGTCTGATCGTTCTTCGTCTGACCCTTCCCCTGAAAGTGGAGAGGACACAGAGGATCCCATCCCGTAGCTGCGCTACATTCCTCTGCACTATCCTATCCAATGTTTGCTCAAACATCTGTGGCATCAACATCCCTCCACTTTGCCACCGAACGTCCCCCATGCAGGTGTGTCATGTCGACAATATTGCTGATGATCTCAGGGGTAAAGAATAAATCAAAGAAGGATTCCATGTCATGAATTCTTATTTATGCCACTCGTAATGGCATAACGCGTGGGCCCTGAAACCAAACCTCTGGCAGCAGGAATATAGCATGGCGTTTCCTCGTGAGAGGGAAACCAGATTTGAAAATGTTTTGATGTCCACCCACTGTCATGACGGACACGATCCTCCGGATAGGATAGTGCAGAGGAATGTAGCGCAGCTACGAGATGGGATCCTCTGTGTCCTCTCCACTTTCAGGGGAAGGGTCGGACGAAGAAGGATCAGACTCCACTACAAACTCCACATCAGATTCTCATGTTTGGCAAAAAAGTGTTTTATCTTTGTGCTGACTCCTTTCAAGCACAGTTCAGATCCACACCAGATTCTCCTTCTCAGGGTGTTTCTGTTTCAGAGGATGAGTCCTGCAGCTGAAGAGACCTCTTGTCCCACAGAGAAGCTCCTCTTCATCTTACTGCTTGTTGCGTATCACAGGAATGAAATGACCAGCCAGCCAAACTACACATATTTGAAGCTTTGGCTTTGCAGCCAGGTGTTTTTATTTACTTCAAGGAGTGTATGTATCGCTGTGTATGTCTGCTTGACATTATCAAAGGACTTTGAAGTTCAAACAATTAAAAACATCGAGGTCAAGATCATACATCTGTTTACCTCAAAGACACATGAAACAGCACAAATGAAAAACAAAACGCCATGAGAGCACACTTACTCCTGTCTCATTCTCACACACAATCACTCACACAAGGTATAAGAAGGTTTAATATGTAAAAGTGTGTATGAGTTTGGGAATGAGGGAGTGAGAGAAGAAGAGAGAGAGAAAGAAAGATATGAGGTGAAAACTGCAACTTACTGTAAACCAAATCTACTGTATATTGTTGTCTCTGTACACACACACACACACACACACACACACACACACACACACACACACACACACACACACACACACACACACACACACATTTCTCAGCTGATACCACTCTTCCACATCCATACCAACACACCTACATCATATTAGTTGCATACATGTATTCCAATGGCTGTCAGGACCCCATTATACAACAGGCAAAGAAACCAAGAAATGACAAGCATGTAATTCAATGGTAAAATGTCACATCTGGTTTTTACAGTAAAAGGGACAAATTGAACTATTTTCCTCCAATATAAAACCCTGACATTACAAAATGCATGATTTTATACCGGTATGACGGAGAGATCAAAATATGTGGTTATAATGGGAGTGGATGGGACATTTGTGTCCGCGAGTGGCTAATGTGTGACTTTTTTGTTTAATCTGATTCTGTGCAAAAACTAATAATCAACCAAAATTAATGTTGTTGCTAATCTTTGACATATCCAAGACTGTGTTAAAAAAAACGGACCCCCCCAACATTTATCATATGTAAAATAACTGCCTTTTTGTGCATGTTTTTCATAGAAAACGCAAATTCATGTTTTCAAACTGGCAAGGGTTAAAATCCTGAAAATAATTTAAGATTTGGTATTTTTGATCAGGACTGAAGTTGATTGAAAGATTTAACCCCAAAAAGTTTTAAAAAAGCAGTTTTTTGAAGTGGACATTTTTGTCCCGAATGACTAATTTGTAACTTTTTTGTTCAATCTGATTTTGTGCAAAAACTAATAATGCAAAAAAAAAATCCATTTTGTTGCTAATCTTTGACATATCCAAGACTGTTATAAAAAAAAAAGAGCCAGTCCCCAGATATGTATTTTTTGGCAAATAACACATTTTCTCTGTTTTCATCATGAAAAAAAACCAGCGGTTTCTTGTATTAAAAATGGTATTGAAAGGGTTAAAATCCTGGAAATGATTACATTTTTAATATTTTCTATTAGGGTGGAAGTTGTTTTAAAGATTGAACCCAAAAAGGTTGTGAAAAAAACCTTTTAATATAATGTTTTTATCAAAGCATTTTGCAGTG